TGCCCTTTGTTCTTTTTTTTGTAGTTGCTGTTGTTGTGTTAGTTTGTTTATTCTTTTGGTTGTTTGTGGAAAAGTGAATAATAGAAGGGTGTAGAGAAGAAAAAAGGTCAAAAGACTGATTCTTTGATTTGTACTTTCTGTCTGTTATTTTGTTTTTTTGACTTTTAATTTTGTTAGTAATTTATTTTTGTTCATTTGTTCTTTTTTCTTAATGTTGTCTGTTTATTTTCTTATATTTGTTTTTTCTTTCTGTCTCTTTCGTTTTTGTTTCATTCATTCTTTTGTTTATTAGTTTGTTTCTCCTCCTCACAAGATCGTACAGTGGTTGGCTGAATGCATTGAGAAGTGTAAGCGCATTGGCTGTTTATTCAGTTATTGAGATGTGAGACGTGAACGTTGAAACTCTGGCATAGTTTTTTGTAGCAAACTGTTTTGGCCGGTTGGCTGAATACACTGTATCATGGCACCAGGCGAGCACTGGTCATAATCCACACTCACAACACGCACACACAGAGGGTGAGGTCATCATCAGGGCATGGTTGAATCATGGATTCTAATAGTGGCACTGACAGCAGCACACACTCAGACAACTCTATGACCCTGTACACCAGCAGCACTGCCAGTCAACTGAAACCCCATTACCAGCACCCAGCCGTGATCCATCACAGAACGCTCGCCAGAGAGAGAAATTAAACAACAAGCTCTTACATCATACGCTTACCTTGACATTAGCATCAGCACCACAAAAAATTAAGGAAAACTGTAAAAGAACATCAAATTTGACATTCCATTTCAATGAGAATCAGCCTAAAATAATTTAATCAGGAACACAGTCCATCACACTCTACAGGCAAGAGCTCTGGGATTCACACACATCAAAAGGGATTTTGTCAAATGCGACGAACACCCAATATAGAATCTACAGGCAGACTCCTGCAAAAATATCCCATCAATGTAGCATGAAACACTATATATTTGCTGAAGACCAGACTTAAGACTATACATTTTTGGCAGAGCCTTGGATTAAAATGCAGCTATGTCAGATCATTATCGAGATGCAGATAGAAAATTAAGACAACAAACAGAAAGAGCAAACTGGAATGAAGTCACACCCTTATCATTGATTATGAAACAAGTACTTCCAGTTCTGGATGCTTATTGATCGTTTTCAGCCATGCTGAATCTGATTAGCTGACTTTAAACAATTTTGTGTTTCTTCCTTTTTTTTTCTTATTTGAGTTTGAAACAAAATGATCATTATTTAACATTAAGCATTTTAAACTGTAGGAGGCCTGACCTTGCAATGTTACATTCTTGTTTCAGGAAACAGCTTCTGGTCATTTTGATAATAAAAATGTGTATAATCATTTATCTTTACTTACATTTTAATGAAATTTTATATTTTATAATTTTTATTTTATTTTACATTTTTTTTTAAATTTATTTCAATTTATACACACATATATATAATTTGTATATATGTAAGTAAAATGTTTCTTGGGAATAAAAAAGATTTTAAAATTAATACATTTATATTTATACATTTATTTAATTATTATTTATGACTGCAAATGGAGGGTAAAATCAAGTGTAGCACAGTTTTTACACAGTTTTTGTCATTTTGCAGTGTTTGTTTATTTATTTATTCATCTACTTATTTATTGATTGTTTGATTTATTTTATTTGTTTTTTTTTTCAGGTCAGGTTGGAAAAAAAGTTGTTGGTACCAGGCTGCTACAATGATTGCTTTATAGGAAAATCCAGTTGCTGAAGTTTGTGAGATTCATTTAATATAAGATAAAGATATTGAAAAGTGCTGTTTAAGACACTTGATACACACTTTTATATTCTGCTTTGTTTTTGGTCATATCCATGAAATAATCTCTAATAGTTTTATATTTGGATGGCTCGAGATTACTCTTGTTTTCCACTGTTTCCACTAATGTTTTTTGTACAACCTATCTCAGTTATTATGGTCTCATTAATTTTTAGCCTTAAAGGTCACGTAAAGAAAACAAACTTTGGTTGGTCACTTTAAATGTCATCAGATGGTCTCTTCCTGTCTAAGTGGTCGTTTCTTGGCTGGATTAAGCTGCAAATTGGACCAGACGTTGACTATTGGCAAAGTCTGACTACATAAGGCTGTTGAGAATGAGACTGTGTGTGTATAATTACAGCAAATAGCTGCGGAAAACTCTACAGATCAGTTTCAGCCCTCCAAATCAAGCCCCAATAACAACTGTCTGATAACAGACACCTGCACATCTGCTTTGATAGATTATCATTTCCAGAAAAGAAAACAAATTCTCTCTATATCAGGATCTAACAGATGTTACACTTGGCGTTTATGTGTGTGTGTTAGAAAAGAGAAGCGTCACTTGACATATTCTGTTTTTCTTTCACACACACATACGCAGCTGCGCTGTTGTTTCTGCAGTGACTTGTTTTTTCACCCTTTTGTATTAATTCAAAGTCAGGTTTGAATCTGTTTCCCTTCAGCACTGAATAACTTTATTTCTACATGCACACACACACACACATGTTATGCTGTCTGTATTCTATGACACAACATTCACTTCACTGGGATATCTGTTAATGTTCCTGTGCTGTCTTTACTATCAAATGTAGTGTCGTTTGGGGCAGTTTTCGTGATGTTGACGAGTGCCAAATTCAGAATCTTTCGCTGTGGTTTCTGGAAACACGTTATTTCCCATTTTCAAGAGAAAAATGTAACATGCTTTGGTACTGAATGATACATATTCATATATTTTGTTTACATCATGCTCCAAGGTGTTAATATTTTACATGTCTAACTTGATAGTTTTTTGGACATTAATTGATTAATTCAGAACGAAAATACAGATTTTTGTTTTGATGCAGAAAAGTTGGTTATGCACTACAAAAGTTTATTTTAATTAATTGATTAATTAATTTTTTAAAGAAAGAAAGGAAGACCTTTTTTCCAGCAAGGGTGCATTAAATTGATTTTTTTTTAAAGTAACAGTAAAAGCATTTATAAATTAACAAAAATATTTATATTTCAAGTTTTCTATTCATCAAAGAATCCTAAAAAATATATTAGTTTCCATAAAAATATTAAGCAGCTCAACTGTTTTTAACATTGATAAGAATAATAAGAAATGTGTCTTGAGCAGCAAATCAGCATATTTTCATGATTTCTGAAGGATCATGTGACACTGAAGATTGGAGTAATGCTGAAAATTCAGCTTTCCATAACAGGACTACATCTTAAAATATCACAATATTTAATATCACAGTAACATCTTAAAATGCATTAAAAGAGAAAAATGTTATTTTAAATTTGTTAAAGTTTTTTTTATCAAATAATTGCATTTTTTATCAACCCCAAACGTTTGAACTGTAGTGTAAATAAACGTTCCATTCTAAAGATAGCTAAAATAATTAAGAGTAGACTATTTTACTGTGTGAGCATTCCATTTAGGGAGAGATAGTTTGACTTTGGTGTAGTGTTATTTTGGTATTATTTGTATGCTATTACAGTATTTATTAATATTTTGAATAAACTTTTATTTTTACACTGAACAAAATTATAAACGCAACACTTTTGTTTTTGCCCCCATTTTTCATGAGCTGAACTCAAAGATCTAAGACTTTTTCTATGTACACAAAAGGCCTATTTCTCTCAAATATTGTTCACAAATCTGTCTAAATCTGTGTTAGTGAGCACTTCTCCTTTGCCGAGATAATCTATCCACCTCACAGGTGTAGCATATCAAGATGCTGATTAGACAGCATGATTATTGCACAGATCGTGCATTTGGCATGCTGAGAGAAATAGGCCTTTTGTGTACATAGAAAAAGTCTTAGATCTGTGAGTTCAGCTCATGAAAAATGGGGGCAAAAACAAAAGTGTTGCGCTTATAATTTTGTTCAGTGTATATTTTCAGTTTTCATTTTAGTAATTTTGCTATGTGCTTTTGTCATTTTTTTATTCGTTTTTTTATGTTTCTTTTTTAGCTTTTTTCAGTTTTAGTAATTTTAGTATTTCATCTTAAACTTTTTAGTTCAGTTAGTTGCCAAGGCAACATTTCTAATTTCTATTCAATTTTAAGTTTAGGTTTTCCATCCAAAATGTATGTTTTATTTGATTACTGCTTTATTAACTATTTTTAATAGTATTAGTTATAGTTAACAATAGCAACACTGCTTTGTCGCTTTAAAAATTGAGTGCCACTTGTCAGCTTCTGTCTCAACCAATGACATGAGTTTGGGGGCGGGGCTGTCTGACTATTTTACCCAGTATTTGTGAGTTATGTATATTTATGCTCATTAGAGTATCACATTGTTAGCTTAGTAACAAGCTAAAATCAAACTTTTTTGTAATCAATTGTGAGCCAAGTCTCCTGTGCATGCACTTCTGTATAACATGTGGAGTTGCTGTCTTTATAGAGCACTCCAAATCGAATAGACATCAAGGCAGCTCACTGGGGTTTAAACAGCAGCAAAAATAAGGAGTATAGAGGTGTGGGTGAATATGTCAGTGAGACCACTTATGTATTGTCACTCGTTTTTACTTTCTTTTACTTGACTTTTATAAGAGGTGAAGCAAAAGCTTGTGTTGTTTTAGGACAGAGGACAGGGCGGCCAGTTCATGCCAGCCCATCTGGTGTGAGGAGAGTTCTTCCCCTTATGGTCCTTCCTGAAGAGTGAGTGTTTGAGAGTGTGTCTGTGTTTGTGTGTGTGTGTGTGTGTGTGTGTGTGTGTGTGTGTGCTTCAGCGTTAATCGTGCAGAACAGAGTACTTTGTAGGGTAGGATAGGGGTTGCTGACACCATCATCTCAATATTAAAACACTGAAACACACTCAAGGATACACAGACACACACATTCACATACAGAATGACCTCAAAAGTACACACACACACACACACACACACACACACACACACACACTGACATACAGAACGACTAAGAGTTGATGATGCTCATTGCTCTCTGTTTGTGTGTTTCTCTCTGCAGGCCACGGATAATGACATTGGCACGTTTGGAGTGGTTCGGTATTACTTCAGCGATGAGCCAGACCAGTGAGATTATCATTCATTAACATACTGTGACCTTTCACACTGATACAGCATCCTGTTTAATTCATTAATTTCCTCTGATTAATTTAATCCACATCCCTGTAGATTTGCATGCCTTTCTTTCCTGTTTCCTTAGACTGATTCTGATTCTGTGGCTGTGTTTGAAATTGAATACTTGCATACTGTTTACTGCATGCTACACAGTACAAATTGTATACTGTCATACTATTTTTATGTTTTTTTTTTATTTATAAAACATTATGCAACAACAAAAATAGTAGGCTTTTACTGCATTGTCTCATGACATCACAATATTAAACAGTTAATTCAATGAGCAACATCCAGTTATCAGCTAATTTCAGTAATACAATGGTTGTTGCATTTGTATTTTTATGTATTACTGTTTATAAATAATTTTATTTGATTGAAAACATTTATTTATTTATTGTGCAAAATGTATTTTGGGAGTCTGGTCAAGTTTTGTTGGGAGTCATGAAACCGATTTTAAAATGCATTATTTTACAATTACAATTATTCATTTGTTTATGGAAATGGAGGTTAAAATCAAGCACACTGCATCATGGGATATTATATACAGTAATATAGTACATATGTTTGCATATTATACTGAAAATGTCAAATGACTGGGCATTCTGGGTTGCTATGCAGTGTATTATTAACTAAAACTATAAAAAAAATAATTTTCAGTAACTGAAATAATAAATAAATAAATAAATAAAATAAAATCTCAATATTAGATGAACAAAATTTATATATATATATATATATATATATATAAATGTTTAAGTTGAGCTTCTAAAATGACTAAAAACTAAAACTGAAAAAAAAAAAAAAATTTTAAGTTTAATGGTAAAAGCCCATAACAAAACTAAAACTTAGTTAAAATTAATGTAATAATAAATCATAAAAAAATAAGTAATTAAAATATAAGCTAAAATAATTACTATAATTAAATACAGTAAATACACCACTTGTCAAAAGTTTGTAATGATTAGGATTTTGTAAATGTTTTTGAAAAAGGCCTCTTATTCTCACCAATATATTTTTCATCTAATAAATGCAGCCTTGGAGAGCAATATTATAGTGATAGTATAATACAAAAAAATAAATAAATAAATAAATAAATAAACTACTTACGCTGTACACATTATACATACTGTATACTGCTAAAATATGATTCTAATGGTAGTATGCTGTTCTGAACATAACCCTTGCATGATCTAAGTCAAGTCAAGTCACCTTTATTGGTACAGTATAGCGCTTTCTACAATACTGGTCGTGTCAAAGCAGCTTTACAGTGTTAAACAGGAAAATAGTTTGTTAATAATACAAGACAATAACAGAGTCATTTTTCCAGCTAAAGTCAGTCAGTCTAACAATTTAAAGTTCTCATTTGCTGGTTAATTAATTTGTGTCTTTAATTACGTCTCTTGCAACTATTAATCAGTTAATGCTGACTCATTTCCATGTATGAACTCCTCCTCCAGGTTCTCATTGGATGTTGAGACGGGTTGGGTGACTCTGCGAGACTGGCTGGATTATGAGCTCATGAGGCGCTTTACTTTAACAATATTGGCCCGTGATGGAGGAGGGGAGGAGACTACAGGACGCCTTCGCATTAACGTGATGGATGTAAACGACAATGCACCAATCTTCCAGAAGGAGGCGTATACGGGTTCACTTATGGAGAACGAACAGGCTCCACAACAAATAGTCCGAGCCCGGGTGAGAAACATAAAGAGATGTGGAGTTTAGAAAGACAGGCGGAAGAAACGTAGAATGGTGAAATGCTGTTCTCAACACATTTTAATTTCGTAACTGATGTTTGTAGTAAAACAGAATAATTATTCATCGAAAATGTAGGGTGGGGTTTGATTTTGTCCCTCAAGTGCTGATAGGATGGTGAAAAGTGGATGCCATGTATCAGAATGGATGGGAAGGGTTGAAAAGTTTTAGGATGATTGAATAGAGAAGTTTGAAGTTGAATAGAGAAGTTTTTTCAGAGAAAAATGCACCGATGAATCAAGCACAATCAGACCAAGAATGTGAAATAAAAAAAGAGCCATTGAGATGTATGGGAATGTGAACAGCCAGCTCTTATAGACTCCCTGTGCCTGAGCCTTGTTCTGGTGTGTAATTGTGGGTCAGTCGCTCTGTTAGTGTTCAGTATGTTTCAGTTAGTGTTTAATTCTCTCCGCATGTGGACACGGCAGCACTAATTTCAGCCGTCCGCTCTAATCTGTGCTGTGATTGACAGTTTGACGGCAGGTGCTGCATTTATCTGACCAGCAGGTGGCGATGTGTGTTGTTGTGTGTGTCCAAAGTTGGGTTGAAACAACCCAGCATTTTTTAGAGTGTACCATTATTTTATTTTTTGTTTTATTTTATTTTATTTTTAAATGATACTCGATTAGGACAAAAAGTGATCAGATATTCAATTAATTTAATGACTTTTATACATTGCCACCTTTAGATTTAACGGTGATGTTTTTTGTTTTTTTTCTCTGAAGGGTGAAATACTGTGACTTTGGTGCAGTTTTATTTTAGTATTATTTATAAATACTATAATATATAATTTATATCTTTTGCAGTTTTATTTTAGTATTATTTATTAATACTATAATGTATAATTTATTTATAATTTATATATTTATAATTTCTTTAATATAAAACTATTCTACTTTAATACTTTTTTATTTTCAGTTTTCATTCAAACTTTAGTTTAAATTTGAGTAATTTTGTGCTTTTTGTGTGTGTGTGCTTTTTGTGTGTGTGCTTTTTGTGTGTGTGTGTGTGTGTGGGGGGGGGGTAATATATTTATTTTGCTTTTATTTATTTTTATTTCAGTTAGTTGCCAAAATAACATTTCTAATTGCAAGTTTAAGTTTTTCATGTAATATTTATATTTTACTTTATTTCTGTTAATGAAAAGATTTTTAATAGTTTTAGTTAATAATAACAACACTGATTTAACACTATGAAAACTTTGCTTTGTTTGCATTATTTTTTTTTATTTCTTTTATTTATTTCTTCATTTATTTAATGCATAATTTTTCCTTTAATTTAACTTCCATTGATTTTTATTTAAGTTAGTTGTCAAGGCAACATTTCTAAGTTTTTTTTTTAATCTAATATTTAGATTAAATTATTTTTTCAGCCTGATTTCAATTAATGAAAACAAATTTTAATATTTATAATTTTAGTTAACAATAACAACATATATAATGCTTATAAAAACATCGCTCTGTTTGTTTGAGTGCTAGATGTTAGCTTCTGGCCCAACCCAGCATAAGTCTGTGGACTGGGTTTCCCTGCTTTTGCCTACAGTGACAGATGACCCATCACCAGGAGGAGTGTTTAGGGAAACTTATTTGGAAACAGTCATTACGATAATGATATAATGACCTTCTGTGTCTCTCTGTGTGTCTTTCTCAGGCGACGGACTCTGTGGACTGGGTTTCCCTGCTTTTGCCTACAGTGACAGATGACCCATCACCAGGAGGAGTGTTTAGGGAAACTTGTTTGGAAACAGTCATTACGATAATGATATAATGACCTTCTGTGTCTCTCTGTGTGTCTTTCTCAGGCGACGGACGAGGACTCTCCTCCCAATAACATCCTGACCTACTCCATCATCTACGCCTCTCAGTTCAGGTCATATTTCAGCATCAGTGTGGTGGAGGGCTACGCAGGTCTGTGTTCAAATCAAAGTCACCTAATAATACGATTTCACAGCTTGTTCATGCTGGTGATGGGTTACATTATGCGCTCTCCATCGCTCAGTGCGTTAGCGGGGAATCGGATTTGGGTTTAACACCTTAAAGCGTGAAAATGCGTTTAGAGAAGCCTTTGTGACCTCTGGTGTTTCATAAATGGATTATAGATGGCTGTCTAGTAAACACGTGCTGAAATATTAGTTTATATTTGTTTCTGTTTTTATATTTAATCGATTTGAGTGTCATAACAACTGTTTGTTTGTTTGTTTATTTAGTCATCACCGTGAATCGTCCTCTGGATTATGAGCAGGTTCCAGGTGGATCGATCTTTCTGACTCTGATGGCCAGAGATGGAGGGAACCCGTCCCTCAATAGCACTGTTCCAGTTACCATAGAGCTGTTTGTGAGTACACCTACCTCCCGAGGGAATGTTCAATATACCACACCATGAAAGAGTGCAATCCTACGCGGTGATGATTAGAGGACAAAATGATGGAAATGTTTGTAATATTATGTCTGCTACACTACCGTTCAAATGTTTGGGGTCAGTACATTTTTTTGATAAAGAAATAATACTTTTATTGATCAAGGATGCTTTAAATGGATAAAAAATGACAGCTTCACTTCCCTAACGTCCTTAACCGTTAACAAAGTGAAAAAGATATACAAATAAAATGGCGTCTAACCCCCTACATCCCTTACTTTGGCAAAAATCTTTTTACAAGGACTTGTGGTGAACACAAATCAGAATCCAAGTCGTAGTCAAACAGGCGATGGTCAGATAAACTGGAGAATCAGAAGTTAGGTTTACAATAATAAACACTCACAGTTTCACTATGGTAAAAATATCTCTTTCACAATCAAATGATGACGAAACGAACAAAGACGAAGGTGAAACACAGTGGCACGAAGCACAAAGTCAGCGAGGCACGAAGGCAGAGGACAAGTGTTTGGGGCGGTCCTTATATGTTTAACAGGACCAATCACAGCCGTTAACGGAGGCAACACCCATCTGAAACACAAACACGTCTATGCACACACACACAGATCATATATAGAAAAGGATAGTTGAAATAAACACACATGATATCTCAGGGACAAAACAATATTAAAATATATTATTACTGATCCCAAACTTTTCAGTGTTAGTGTATGTTAAAAACTACAGCAGGACAGATGAACTCTTTAATTTATGTTGTATCTTAAAGTAGTAGAACCGTCTTTTAATTAAAAAAAATATTTTGGATTCAATACCAGTTAAGCTCAATTGACAGCATTTATTGCGTAATATTGATTACAACAAAAAATTACTTTGACTCGTCTATGGTTTTATAATAAAGAAAATAAAGGTTACTATGAGGCACTTAGATGAAAGCAAATGGGGCCAATTATTGGAGGATTTAATAGCAGATATTTGATGCTTTTATATTTTAGAAAGTTCCTTACATTAATTCTTCTGTTTAAAACATATTATTTGAGCTGTAAAGTTGTTTTTGACAGTTTTACTGTTGTTTTAGGGTTTATGTTATGTTGTCATGGCAACAAGTTGTAAAATTAGATTAAAATGTTGCCCTAAAATCATATTATCTTATCATATTACCTTATTGTAACAGTGAGTATTTTATCGTTTACAGATTGTCCTCATTCACTTCCATTGCAAGTGACTCGCTGTAATGGTAAATTTCGCTTTTTTTATAGAAAAAGTCAAAATTAATGTTACGACACAAGTGATTGAGCTCAACTTGTAACCTGGAATATTCCTTTAACTTCATCTTTGAATCTGGTGAAAACAAAGATTACCCAGAACCGTCATTTCAGGTTCAAGTTCCTCACACACAAACAAACACAGTTTGGTGTTGTGTGATCTGTGTGTTAATTCTGAATTCATTGGCTTTCTCTGAGGTCCATTGACTAGAATGATTAATCCATGGATAATTTCTCTCTGACATTTCTCTGCTCTTTTATTATGATTCCGATTAGACACATTTCGTCTGAAAAACAGAAGGGGTTTGACACATCCACGTCTGTGTGTGTATGTGTTATTACTGAACGTTGAGCTGAAATGAAGTGGTAAAACAGTGTATGCATCTGATATTGAATAATTTCCCATCGCCACAGCCTGTGAGTTTCCATTAAACCCCCAAAGCACTCCATCAATACATTTAATTATAACCAAAAGCTGTTTTTTCCCTGTGTAAAATTAATGAGTTGATATTTAAAGACTTTTTAGATACCTAAAACACTGATTTCTTCCCTCCTTCACTTTGCAGGACGAGAATGACAACCCACCCGAGTTCAGCCTCCCGTCTTACATCGTCAACATACCTGAGAATATCGTTGCAGGTACATTTACAATTCTGTTATCAAAAAATGGAAGAATACATCAACATGTAGCACATGTCCAGTGCTCAAAACCTCATGACAACATAACTAGATTCCTGTCAGTGATGATTTACAACGTTCAGCCAGCTGTGCACTAGTTCTGTTCCACACTAATAAAATGTTTTGTGTGAATAAGTGCTGTTTTCCCAGAGTTAGGACAAAGGCTTTTGGTAGTTTTGTTTCAGTTCTGACCATCCAAAACCAGAACCAAAGAGTTCAAATACTCCCCAGAGAATCTGGTTAGAGGTTCATTCTAAACCTGTTATTAAAACCTGAACTGCTTAATACCAAAGACTATAGAATACCCAAGACGTGTCACTCATAAGCTGCGTACCAAATGACGGACTATACACTGTGCACTCATACACTATGTACTTATGCACTATGTACTCAACCATGTATAGTATGAATTATATAAGGTTATTTTGTCATTCATAATCGGAGTCTCATAGCCCCTCCCCCTTCAGTACGTAATTAAAGCTGCGACAATTGAGTGCATGAAGTGTCCAACATTCCACACTTCATTTTTTCGGTTATTTAAGTGCATCATCCGGGTATTTAAAGTGCACTTTTTCTTTTTGGAATTTTCAGTGTGAACGCACTACGCACACTATTTATACTACAAAACGTAATAGAATAGTGCATAAGTACGCGATTTGGGATGCCCCTATATAGTTTTGAATGGAGAAAAATGCAACGCTCAATATGGCCGCTCTATCGAACTAAGCCCCGCCTTCTGAGCAAAAGAACCAATCGCTAATCGGTAAAGTCATCGCGTCACTGCAGCTGCTGTTAGAAGTCCCAGTTGCTATAAAAACAGTACGCTGTTCTGAGACGTGCGCTTAGGACTGCACATGCGCACTGGTGGGTCTAGCCTGAGAAATAAGGACTTCATTAATACACAGGCTCCATTCGCACGTTGTTTTGGATATGTTTTATGCTTATTTTATTTTATTTTATTTTATTTTATTTATTTATTTATTTATATATTTATTTATTTATTTATTTAT